TGCTACTGTTTGCAATACTCGAGCCCGGCAACGATGGCTAATGCGAATCAGAACTTCTCGATCATGTCCGAATACATGACAGAAATGGGCCGAATCAGGCATTCCAAGGACACGGGACTGAGACCGGTGAACCAGAGAAAGATTGCGAGGGCTATCCGAAGGACGATTGGGATGGGCTTGATGCCGAGTGTGCACCAACATCCCGAGATTCTTTACAAGGAGGTTCAGAGGTATGAGCAGAACACGGCATTCAAGGCGCATGATGCTCCGACGGGTATCATGTGAAGGCTGCCAGGAACAGACTGAGCTGGATGTACATTAGGTGAACAATGATGTAGGAGCGGGAATGTGAGGCTCTGAATGCATGAAACGGCCTACGGGGTAGGTCTGGTGTATATTTCTTGACTTAGATGGCGTCGGAAAATGGTTTGCGATGCACATCTGGTTGTTATTGCTAGTGATATTTCGGGTCGGCGATATCAGTCGGCGTTAGGTGAGGGGACTCAGGGAAGAATCTCTCCGTACAGCAATATGTAAGACCCAACGAATTTTTCGGACTGCCCGTCATCCCCGAGACTCCTCCCAGCCGACTGTGGATATTGATCCCGAAGAGCCTATCTCCGTAGTAGTTCCTCCATCGGCTATCGCTTACGTGCATAGCAAGTGACAGACGGCGGTGACTCTTTCTTCAATCCCGTTCCTCAACTTAATTTATATCAGCAGCTACACTTCGTATATCCTATCAAATGCTGGCAGCTTTCAAAAGAGTAAATCTAGGCATAAAATCATACAGTTCCAGAGCGGATATCTTCGAAGCTCCCAGAGTACAGGCTTGGTCCGTTCCTCAACCTGTAAGACCAAATCCAGCAAAACGTACCTCACAAACTCACATCGCGCGGTTACCGTACTTTGTCTACACATGCAAAAAGATGACAAAGACTGATACGGCTCATTAGATTACTGATATTGATATTAAAGATATGCAGGACACGATATAGTAAGAATGCACAGGGAAGGGACTTTTGGTGCAAACGTTTGCGCCGGGCTAGCGATACGATATACATACATACATGGTTGTAATGCAATCTCTTGAAAGATATCCATTTCAGTAAAGTCAAGTCCCAAGGAATCGATTTTATGCTTTTTGGAAGCCGAATAGAGTGGTCAGTCACCTACCTACCGGTACCTACTTGTAGCTACGTCGTGAGGCGAGATCGCATTCCAAACATCCGCTCGCTTGCAAGCGGTGGCAGACCACGTGGACGGACAGCGCGAGAAATCTTGGTCAGCTTGGGAACAAAGCCTTTCAAACTGCGACGTGCAACAAAACCTGGGAGATTTGCCCCCGTTTGATCATGTGGTGCGGTGCGAGATGTAACCACGTGATATGTTTAGGAACAACCTAGGCCAGCCTCGCGTCGAAATATCTACACTTCCTCGGTACCAGGACCACTTCTTCAACCCGGCCACCCCAACACCCAAACCGCGACAACCCCCCCTCTCCGTACAATCATGTCTGGCCGACGAGATTTCCTCAGCCAGAAGGCTCCCGAGAACTATGTTGCCGGTCTGGGTAGAGGTGCCACCGGCTTCACGACCCGATCCGACCTGGGTCCCGCGCGCGAAGGTCCCAGCGAGGACCAGATGAAGGAGCTTCTCGCAAAACGTGCTGCACAGTTTGGAGCTGCAGCACCTACGGCATATGGCGTCCCCGAGAAGAAGGACAAGGAAGAGGAGAATGACGATGACGAACGCTTCCAAGATCCCGAGAACGAGGTCGGATTGTTCGCAGGGGGCGCATACGACAAGGACGACGACGAGGCAGATCGCATCTACCAGGAGGTAGACGAGAAGATGGATAGGCGGCGCAAAGCTAGAAGGTTGGTCTCCCCATTTTGTGCCCACTCCTCCCGTCACCCTCTGCGCAGATGGTTTATCAGATATGCAAATAGATGAACAGATTACCGACCTTTCTACCTACAGGGAAGCTCGAGAGAAAGCAGAGCGAGATGAATACGAACGAAACAACCCGAAGATCCAACAGCAGTTCGCCGACTTGAAGCGCGCATTAACGACGGTCAGCGATGAGGATTGGGCAAACCTCCCAGAGGTCGGCGATTTAACTGGAAAGAATCGGAGGAACAAGCAGGCTCTGCGACAGAAATTTTATGCGGTGCCCGACAGTGTCATTGCTGGAGCGCGAGATGCCTCGGAGCTTGGGACTACTGTGGCCGACGATGGGCCCTCGGGAGACGGATCGGACGGTACCATGACAAATTTCGCAGAAATTGGAGCGGCGCGAGACAAGGTCTTGAAGGTCAGGCTGGACCAAGCATCCCAAGGGACGGACTCCGTTGCTGGAAGTGCTACGAATATCGACCCCAAGGGATACCTCACGAGTCTTGCCAAGTCACAAATCAATGAAGGCGAGGCGCAGGTGGGAGACATCAAGCGAGTTCGAGTACTGCTGGAATCTGTCATTCGTACTAATCCTAAGCATGCGCCAGGTTGGATTGCTGCTGCTCGATTGGAGGAATTAGCTGGGAAGACCGTGGCGGCCCGAAGTGTAATCGCACGAGGCTGTCAATTCTGCCCAAAGAGTGAGGATGTTTGGCTTGAGAATATCAGACTGAACGACAACCATAACGCCAAGATCATTGCTGCTCAGGCCATCAAGAACAACGACCGGTCAGTGAATCTCTGGATCGAGGCCATGAAGTTAGAGTCGGAAGCGAGAGCCAAGAAGCAGGTCATCCGGAAAGCGTTGGACCACATCCCTCAGTCAGTCGTGCTGTGGAAAGAGGCCGTGAACTTGGAGGAGGATCCTAGTGATGCGAGACTCCTACTCGCGAAGGCGACCGAGATTATTCCCCTATCCGTTGAACTTTGGCTGGCTCTTGCGCGCTTGGAGTCCTCGGACAATGCGCAGAAAGTGCTCAATAAAGCTCGTAAGGCCATTCCTACATCTCACGAAATTTGGATTGCTGCAGCAAGGCTTCAAGAGCAGATTGGCAACACCGGCATCAATGTCATGCAACGTGCAGTCAAAGCTCTTGCGAAAGAATCTGCGATGTTAAAGCGCGAGGAGTGGATTACAGAGGCAGAGAAGTGCGAAGAAGAAGACGCTGTGTTGACTTGCGGTGCTATCATTCGAGAAACGCTTGGCTGGGGCTTGGACGAGGATGACGACCGGAAAGACATTTATATGGAGGACGCGCGGGCAAGTATAGGACGAGGAAAGTACGAAACAGCTCGTGCAATCTACGCCTATGCATTACGGATTTTCGTGAACAGCAGAAAGCTATGGCTGGCGGCCGCTGACCTGGAGAAGAACCACGGGACGAAAGATGCGCTGTGGAAAACGCTCGAGAAGGCAGTTGAAGCTTGTCCGCAGAGTGAAATCCTGTGGATGATGCTCGCCAAGGAGAAATGGCAAGCTGGGGAGATCGACAATGCAAGACGAGTGCTAGGTCGAGCTTTCAACCAAAATCCAAATAACGAAGATATTTGGCTTGCAGCGGTCAAGCTCGAAGCCGAAAACCAACAACCGGAACAAGCCAGAGAATTGCTAAAGACCGCTCGGCAGGAGGCGCCGACCGACAGAGTCTGGATGAAGAGTGTTGCTTTTGAGCGACAGGCAGGCAATGCAGACGCAGCCCTTGATCTCGTCAACCAAGCACTGCAGCTCTTTCCTGGCGCCGCAAAGTTGTGGATGATGAAGGGCCAAATTTATGAAGGCGAAGGCAAGCTACCACAAGCCCGTGAAGCCTACGGCACGGGTACTAAAGCTTGCGCAAAATCCGTGCCTCTTTGGTTACTCTATTCTCGGCTCGAGGAACGTGTCGGCAACATCGTCAAGGCTCGTGGTATTCTTGATCGGGCTCGACTAGCTGTCGCCAAGTCGCCAGAACTCTGGGTCGAATCAGTGCGTTTGGAACGTCGTGCGAACAACGTCAGCCAAGCAAAGAACCTGATGGCACAGGCTCTACAGCAAGTTCCCACGAGCGGTCTGTTATATAGCGAGGCAATATGGCATCAGGAGGCCCGCACACAAAGAAAGCCGAGAGCCTTAGAAGCTATCAAGAAAGTCGACAATGATCCTATCCTCTTCGTTACCATTGCAAGAATTTTCTGGGGAGAACGGCGTCTGGAGAAAGCGCAAAATTGGTTTGAGAAAGCAATATTGCTGGACAGCGATCTTGGCGATACCTGGGCTTGGTATTTCAAGTTCCTGTTGCAGCACGGGACTGATGTAAGTACAGTGGCTCAATATGGTAAAAATATGACTAATCACGGCGGGCAGGAAAAACGAGCGGATGTTATTTCGAAGCTGATTCTAAGCGAGCCAAGACATGGCGAAGTTTGGCAGAGCGTTGCGAAGGACCCGAAGAACGTCGGCAAGAGCCAGGAAGAGATCTTACGGACAGTTGTTACGAAATTGGAGTAGTTGTTGCTTGGAACATGGTGTGTAACATTATTCGCAGTATGTCCTGCTGCTGGCTACGGCAAAGAATCGTTGACTTCGAGGTCTAGCATATAACCGGCTCACTTGTATGCACTTTAATTCTGTTCTTGGTAGGCCTTCCTTCCACAGCCGTCTTCTCTTCCGTTTTTTTTTTTTTTTTTCTGTCTAGGCTGATTGTATATGGAATCGCTGGACTGCATCTCGATTTGACAGGACAAAGGCAAACCGTGGCGCCAGTCTGCTGCACAAGGATGATGAACTGACCGACATTTGAAAGCGAGTAAGTAAATTATCTTTCCTCTTCTGGTTTAAAAATCGCTATCCATAATACGCTCAACCGTCGGTATACAAGAATTCAGTGTTGAAGAAGTCGATGAATACATCACCCTTTCTCTTGTGTCGTTCTCTCTTGGTGAACCTACTACTAGTTAAATACCAGATGACCTGGGCTGCACTAGGAAATGTACAGCATGTTTCCTCGCACATCTCTCTCGTCTTTCCTCCACCCTACTTTGTGACAACAGGCTTCCCCGACTCGTAGTTCTTTGTTTGCAGTCTTCCATTGTTTTGTTCAACACTCTGCAAGCGGTGTAATACCGACGTATCGGCAACCTCTTTTGTGGAAAAGATGCCCCTTTGTTCGACAAAGCTTAAGCTTACCAAGTCTCACTGGACAAAATTATGGCACCCAACAATTCATATCTGAAAAAATTCCGCTTCCCGCGTTTTCCCCATCGAGTTCCCATCGGGCACTTCCATTCATAATGGCCGAGGCCTCTCGTGCGGATCCGATTGAGCTGCTTCTCCCTCCAGGTAAGTGTGTCCCTAAACACCAGCTCGGACTATTTAACCGACCACGTTGTCAGGACGAAGGAATCTCGCAAATCTCACAAACCTCGCAAGGAAATACACCCATCCAGTGAAAACGATTGGGAAGATATCCCACCGAGTTCTCAAGAATACAGGCAAATCAGGCCTCACGCCCATCACTCCTAACCCGCGGTCTCACAACAGGATTGCCACTCCATTGCTGACCCCTAACTCTTTACCGTCCCGACTGGTAGAAAAGTATCAAACCAGGAGATTCTATGGGTTCTCCGCCGAGGAGTTGCAGACCCTCAATGCCATCACTGGACTGGATAACCAGGCTGGAGACTCGACGCTAGACGAAATGATACACCCACTTTTCGCGGAAGCGAAGTGGGAGAGGAGTGATGGAATGGGATTGAATGTTGGGCCCTTGCCTATCAGAGGTGGGATTGATGGATATTGGGTTGTGGGTGTTCTCTCCACGCTCGTCTACATCAGGGGCTACGCTGAATGATGCGCTGGTGATTGTAGGCCGATAACCCGATTGTCTGGAACGCTCTCAAGCCGTCGATCTACCTCGCCTCCTTGCTGATCAACAACGCCGCTGTGTACCCCTGGTAGGCATCTCACACCCCGGAACTGGCGCGCATCTCTAATAGTTGCAGGTGGGATGCTCTGTTCTTCGGTGACTACCACGACATTCCCTCGCACCGAAAAGGACCGCAACACCAGTCCAAAAGGCTTAAGTCATTCCATACCCGCCCCCTTCACATCCGGGAACAGCCCATGGAAAGAGGGAGAGTGGATGCACAATTTCGTGTCGCAGCCCAGGCTATCAGATTTAGAATATGGAGCGGCTACACCAACTACGCTACAGGACTAGCCATCAAGGAGCCTTGGGTATGTGGCGCTACCTCATGGGAGCTTTCGTCGAACAACATCAGGATCAATATCGCTTTAGAGCTGATCCAGCCCCTGTTGAGCGCGCAGTTGAATGCCGCTGAGAGGTAAGCTTGCCCCTGTGGAAAGGATCGAGCGGTATATCTTCGAAGAGTGGACTACTAACCAAATGCGATGATCAGGATGGCATGCCAGTTCAGAATCGCTTCGACGCTTGTACACGAAACCGCTGTGAGCCTTCCTTTATCACTTTTTCGTTGAAGATAGTTGAACTGACTTTTTACGAGCACGCCATGTGGGAATATAAACGGAATACTGATCCGGACCCAGAGTTTCACCGTCTCGATGCAGAGCCATACTTCGAGGGCGAGGTCCTTGCAGAGCTAGGCTGGTCGCTGGAGGACAAAGTAGGAGATGCTCTTTCCAGCGTGCTATGCCCAAACTAATGTTGTGTGCACCAGCTTTGGGGAGGAGAACCAATGGATATCCTTGCCAATTCTTACAGTCGTGGAGGCCCGGGCTTAGCAAGCGCCGGCTTCTTCAAGACAAATTGTACTTGATAGCCCTCCTGGATTAGCTTGACGAGAACCTGCTAACCTCACACAGGGTTCGTCGACCGACATAAAGATTACAGTGCGGCTCCTCTCCTCGAACACGTTGTACACATCCCGCCACATGACGACCCGTACTACAGGCACGACTACTACCCTCTCTCGACCTCCTGGTTTAGGTCTCTCTTCGACCGCAACCTATGGGACTCACAGGCTCGGCAGTTCCGCGCTTCCGCAACCAAGATGCAACCATGCTATATTGGAACCACGGCCAACTATGTGAATCGACAAACCGAACATGAGCAAATAGACTCTTTCACCCGCCAATTCGACGGTACTGGCGTCCTGGCTGTCAGCCCTGGGGCTCCTGCCGTAGAGCAAGCAAGAATTACAGCTGAAATTTCTCGACGCAATCATGCCAATGATATCTTTGGGAGAATGCGAGTTTTCGTTCCGGTAGTACCTGTTACTGAAGAGCCGCCCGATGATCCAGATCCGCCCGAACCTGTTTATACGTGTGCAAGATGGGATGAGATTGCACAGTATCTGTTTGACCACCGAGACCCCGACGACTTGGCACTCGACACATTGGACTTCCCGATGCCGGAGCAGAATCTGTACAAGAACGTTTACGACTACGGGATGGGGATGCCGGGCATTACACCGGAGGAGCTCCGAGATTTCCTACGGGTGTGTCATCAGAGGAAGCTCTTGTTTGGGTACGTTCACCTGCCAGCCAGCTGCCTGCTAGCACCACATCATCCCATCCCCTTGGGCCTCGGGCTCTCTCTCACCCGCACATCGCCACTCACGACACAGCTAACAACCGCTCTCAGCTACACGCCGTTCCCAGCCGGCGGCACCGTCCACCGCCTCCCTACGGGCTGGCCCGAACGAGATGCCGAATTCCAGTTCGTGCGCGAGGGACGCACCAACCCCATGCACATCGCCAACCTGGATGCGCTGATCCGGGACCCGGCCTTTCAGCACAGGCTGTACGCCGAGTACGGCGATTACCGGGATATCTACTACGAACACCTCCGCCTCGCCATGCAGAGGCTGGGGGCGAGGACGAATACGGCGAACAGCAGCATGCGCTTTGGGGAGATGAGGTCGGTGGTGAACTCGCTGGCCACGGGTAATTACATCACGTAAGTCGTCTTCGTCTTCTCTTTGGGCACGCCTCGCATCCCGCGGAATTATGTACATATGTATATATGTATACATTCTTCTGAAGATTCATGACTTCAGAGCCTCCGCTAACCCAGCCTTCCGCAAATTAAGAATCGGCCCCCGAGGCTCCGCCCGGATGATCTGGCCCATCGCCCAAGCGTGGCGCGACAAATACCAGCGCGACGCCACGATGAGGATACTGGCGGATGGCGACGCCATGGTGCGGGCGGCTCGCGATCAAGCGGCGCGACTGGAGCAGGCGGGGAGCGAAAGGGAGTTGGGGGTGGAGAAGGCAATGGAGGGGGAAGCGGACGACGAGAAGGAGACGGAGACGGATGAGCAGGATAGTACTGGCGTTGGGTCAGACGAGGAGGGGAGTGGTGGTAGTAGTGGTAGTAGTAGTGGTAGGAGTGGGATGTAGATCTGAGTAGAGCGACTGGTGACGATGAGTAGGCGCTGCTGCTTGGAGATACTAGGGATGCTATGGATGCTAATGGTACTGGTGAGGGTTCTAGTGAAGGGTATGGAGCTGGGGTGGAGGGAGTTGAACAGAGCTTGTTCTGCTGCTTGCTGGCTGGAGATTTGAGAGGCTGTTGGTTAGATGAGTTGAGTTGAGTTGCTTGGTATTGCGGTGCGTGGTTTGGTTAGTTGGTTAGTTGGAGTTGGTTAGTTGGTTAGTTGGAGTTAGTCAGTCGGTCGATGGTTAGAAGAAAAGATAATATTATTATTATCATTATCATCATCATCATTATTACTGCCTCTTCCTCTAACTATCAACTTCTGATCTGATGTAAGGACGGGTGGTTGGTTAGTATACGCCTCGAGAATTCTCATTGCCTTCCGTCATTGGAATATACATATACATATACATATACATACACATACATATACACATGCACATAAATATACATATATACACATAAAATTCTTTCCAACAATGAACTCCCTTCTTACTCCAACCGCAGGCACTCTAATCCCTCATCACTCAACTTATTT